GCACGCATGCTGCAATCTGATTGGCTGAAACTTTGAATGGCTATATCTCCTTTGTTTTTTGACGAAATGCTTTGAAATTTAAAATATAGTCATGCATTAGGATATCATAAAATATGATATAGAAAAAAAATTATGAAATCACGCGCATGCACGTGTGCTGCAATCTGATTGGCTGAAACTTTGTATGGCTATATCTCCTTTGTTTTTTGACGAAATGTTTGGAATTTTAAAATATAGTCATTCATTTAGATATCCTTCGATACGATAAAAATAAAAATTATGAAATCCCGCGCATGCATGTGTGCTGCAATCTGATTGGCTAAAACTTGAAATGGCTATAACTCCCTTGCTTTTCAACCAAACAGGATGGGATTTAGAACATAGATAAATATAAGGGACTCCTACAAGAAGGTGTAGTCATTATGCACGTGCTTGCACGTGCGTGCACGTGAAATGAGTAAAATTAAAAATACACTCGAATGAGTGTATTTTTAAATACTTTTGGTTTAAATGCTTTGATATTAAGTATATTAAAATCTTAGATAGTGTAAACAAGATAAAATGGTCGTTACGCACCTATTTTTAAATATATTTTGTATTTCTCTAAGAAGACCTTGATTAAGTCTAAATTCCATAAAGTATTTCTTATTTAATAGAAATTACATGGAATATGGCACAAAAAGGGAGTTGGGGAGCGTTTGGGGAACATCTGTAACGGTCCCCGTTACAATTAGCACTAGTTGTTTGTATTTTTTAAAGATTTTAATTCATATGTTTAATCCGCGATAATCAGTCTTTATACAAGTATGAGAATTTTGGATATATGTAATAGGCAAACACCTTGAATTAGTTGACATTAAATAGTCCTATGATTTTTCTTCTGTACACCTAGTCATATCAAATGGGGGTGATGCTGAGGTTGCTAATTTTTAAAACTGGCTTTTAGTTTATCTTCATGTTTTAATATGTCAAATATTGAACTGAATATAACGAACGATTATCAAGATGACTGACCAGAAAAGAGATACAATTTACGAGCAGTGCAAACACGAGCCTTTAAAACATTAGATGTGGAATCGGATGTCTTGGAGGATAGGGGTTCCATATTGACGAATCAAACTTGCTTCATTCTCCTTTTTGTGATAAAGCAAGACTTTTAAGTCCACAAACAATTCATTGTGAGATAATTGTCTAGCAATTTGCACGATAAACAGTCAGAGACATTTGACTTAAGGACATACTGACCATGTATTTATTGACAACGTCATTGTGTCGACCATTGTAATTAGGAAATGCAAACTTCAATCTAGCTTCAACATATCCTTCAAGTTTATTCTCTAATTACTTCGTCAATGCCTTGCTTCATTTCCTCTTTTTTAATTAGATCAATCGCTTTTGTGTCGTTATCTTCACTATTCCCAATTCTGAATTAATAAAGACAGAAGGACTCATATGATTTTAAATTTTTTCAAGTCGTGACTTTTTAAAAACATATATCTTAATTTTAACAAATCTTCGAAGTGTCTAATTCTTCTTTAAAGTTCGTCCCTTTGCCTGGTGTAACTTTTCAGAAAATTTTCAAAATTTCTAAATTCATGACTGGAGATGAAAGCTAGGGTTTCTTGAAAAATTAGTCTTTTCATACGTGAATTATAGTCCTTATGTGAATAATTTTACTAACGTCACTGGTGATTGCGTGTCCAGAAAAACTAGATACAGAATAGCTTTTTGGAGGATAATGTGTAAGAATCTTGATATCTATCCACTGCACTTTTTTTGTTATCAAAAACGTTGGATATGATAGTCGGTAAATATTTGAAAGAAATACATTGTGTAAACTTCAACTTGAAATGTAGTGGAAAGCAAAACCGGACCTTTTTGTGAGTAAGAATATTACCGGTATTTAAATTTTCGGTGTCAATCACTCCGTTTGAAAAATTTACGTTTCCGAAACAAACACGTTGCTGTTTCCTTCTCCTTAACACATGATATTTTAAGAATTTAGTTTGCAATTCTTCTAACTTCATAGTTTAGTTTCTATTCTGGTTTCGGGGTTATTGTAACAGTGAATCGTTTCCATTCGGCACAAAGATAAGCATGTTAAAAGGCCACTGTGCACACGATTCCTTGCACATTTCTGCATTGACTGCTACACAGAAATGTGTCTCTTAAGGATGAGAGTCCTTATCTTCACAAGTTTGGGATTATTATTTACGCCTGGTAAGTAAAACTATCGGATTGTAATAATTTCCAAGCTGTTGTGAGTATGTCTGTCCGAAAACGTTATATTTCCCAAGACTAATATCTATAAAATTCAGAAATTATACCTGAATATTTTAATCAAATTTTCTTCACGTCAACAGCAACCCCATATTAAAAAGCCAATGTTTGTTGTTTCATTGGTTTGATGGTTTTTTTTTTTTCAAATGCAAAAAAAATCCATTATTTTTTTTTAAAAATAATGTTGTTTATTATAAATGTCAACAATAGAATGTTATTGAAAATTTAGGAGGGAGAGTGTTTTCAATAAAACCACCATGTTATAAAATACATAATTGACCAAAGTGACCAAATTGAGTAAATACTAATTTTTCCTTTTCTTGAACATGTTGAAGTTGTCATCGGATCTCCATCGTGTCCTTATGGTTGGTACCAACATGGATCATCGTGCTATGTCTTCATAGCTGGTGTTTTGAACAGCTGGACAGAGGCAATGGTTTGTGTGTTTTTTTTTCATTTATACAAAATTTTATTCAAATAAAGTGGATGGGGTTGGGCAGAAGGCAAAACAATAAATGATACACTCGTTTTTGTTATTCATCTAACCTGTGGATTTTTTCATAAGGAAATTCTTTAAATTATTAAATACATGCATAGATAACAGAATTAAATGAAACTGGGTGATGTTTTTCAAAAATATATATTGGAGAAACTCCAATCTGTTGTTTTCTCATTAAAATGATTTGCAACATAAAACATCGATAATCGATAATCAATATTAGCTTTGTGGCTGACATGGTCAAACCTGACTCGCTCAAAATAGCACCATAAAATCTATAAAAATATCATAGAAAAGCAAAGATCATTTTTATAGCAATTTCAATGAAAACTGTCGCTAGCATGGTGCAGAGTAAATATCGCAGATCAGATACTACTGTACATGTATTTGGTATTTATTCCAGTTTATTTACACATGTAATCTTTAAAACAACATACCCATGAATCATTTTATTTGGAGCTAAAATTTGAAAGATCAAGGCCATAATTAAGATTACCATTATCAGAGAAATATCATCAAAAAATTAATATGCTCGGGTAGTTGAAGTGAGCAAAAAATGTGATACACAAAATCTTTTATATAATTTTGATTTTCTAAAGGTGTGGATATAAATATTAAATAGTTCTTACCAAATTATATGAATATGTTTCATCAGTAAAAATTAGTATGTTAGTCTGTATTTTTTCAGTCGTTTTGCAAGGCACTTTCTGCTAAATTGGTGGAAATAGAGACACAGGATGAAAATCATTTCTTGAGTAACCATCTTCAACGCATGGCGCACGGTCGTATGTATTACAAGCAGAGAATATCGAATTTCATTTTTTCAATCTAAACTTTACATATTTTTACTCATAGTAACTGTTCGTCAAAATATTTCAGATTTCAAAACAAATATGTAATAGTTAAAAATTCAATGTGATAAGTTTTACTTTTGTGGCAATCTCAGTCACGTTCTTTTCATTCTTAAAGGGTCCATGTTTTTCAAGTCTCATTATTGTTCCAGTACAGTCTTCATATTGATGAAATAGGCAGGTTTGACCGACATTACCCGTTTTTGCCATGATATGAAGCTGGTTGCTATAATTATCACTAGTTAAAGCATTAATTTTATCATTAATTTTACTTTTATACAATTCGTGCCAACTTCCTCAAAAACTGAAGACTAAGCGTGCCATGTAGATTGATTGTATGTCGTTTAACACCCCTCTCTAAATTTTTTTACTCATATGTAGACGGAACCTCTTTCCGGTGGAGAGCTACAAATTTTGTCCTATACTCGGCACCTAGGGACATTGAGCAAGGAGGGATCTTTTTCGTGCTAGCACCTACTGCGACACGGGGCCTCGGTTTAAAAAGTCTCATCCGAATCTCATCCGAATGAACCGGTCTCCACGTCCCACAGTGGGATTCGAACCCGCGACTCTAGAACAGACGCTCTAACCACAGCGTCACGCGGGCAACTAGCGTGCAAGAGATTTTTAAAAATTGCTTACAGGGAATGGCTACGAAAGCTCATTTAGGACCTATCAAAAATATTTTTGAATTCGTTATAACGATTTTTAGAATTCGTTATAACGAATTTAATTTGTTATAACAGATTTATTGAATTCGTTATAACGAATTTAATTTGTTATAACAGATTCATTGAATTCGTTTTAACGAATTAAATTTGTTATTACATATTTATTGACTTCGTTATAACGAATTTAATCTGTTATTACAGATTTATTGAATTCATTATAACGAATTTAATCTGTTATTACAGATTTGTTGAATTCGTTATAACCAAATTCTTGAATTGATTATAACGAATTCAAAATTCGTTATAATGAATTCAATAAATCTGTAATAACAGATTAAATTCGTTATAACGAATTCAATGAATCTGTAATAACAAATTAAATTCGTTATAACGAATTCAATGAATCTGTTATAACAAATTAAATTCGTTATAACGAATTCTGAAAATCTGTTATAACAAATTAAATTCGTTATATCGAATTCTAAAAATCGTTATAATGAATTCAAAAATATTTTTTGATAGGTCCTAAATGGGCTTCCGTAAATGGCTATTAATAGCATAATTCATTAAATAATAATAATATACAATTACAAATTACTGTTCTGGAAATGTTTATTTAATTGAAACTTGTTAAACAATTATTCTTGCTGGAGTTTTACAAATTATAGAAACAGACTGTAGCTGATTGATAGATATATAGATTGTTCATTTCATATCCTTATATCTGCAGATAACTACTGGATTGGTTTAACAGACGCAATTTTTGAAAATGAGTGGTTATGGATGTCCACTCAAAAAGAAGCTCAGTACACCAATTGGGGGCCCTTCCAGCCAGATAATGACCAGCACATGGAGGACTGTGCAGATATAGCGTTTTTCGGTCAACATGGTCTCTGGAATGACGAAAATTGTGATACAAAGCAACATTTTATTTGCGAAAAAGAGTAATTATCCATCCTTTTTGAATCAGTTGTTTTTGCCGCACAATTATCAAAGTGATGGAATAACTTTTAGATCTTTCAAAAGTTTTTATTATTATTATTATTATTATTTTCAGTTTGACAAGTACAACCACCGTTCCTCCAGTTGGTATTCTTGTTGGTTAATAAATCTTTGAAATAGCATCTTTCTTTATTGTCTTGTTGGAATATTCTAGTTAACTTAATTGTGCTGACGAAAGACATGAAATCTCGTTTAAAGTCATCAAACCGCAAATCGCAAGTTTTATAGTTTTAATTAAAGGCTGCTTGTTTTACAACGAGCATTTTTTTTTATTCAGGGAGTACAAGGAGGCAACAAAAAGTCAAAGGTACTTGGACACAGATTTGAAGTCAATATTTTCTCTATAATATAAAAATAAGATAAATCACTTTTAAATGAAACTAGATGCTGTCATGAGACAGTAATACCCGCACCAAGGTGTTTGCCTCTAAATACACGCTCCTACATATTGGGCGGCTTTCAAAGGAAATAGTCAAAATAATTCTATAATTTACATGTATTAATCAAATTGATTATGAAATTCTCAGACCCTGTGACCTATAACTCAGAACCTCTTATATTTATTTTAAACATGCTTAATTCATTATATACAAGTCTGAATTTTATTAATGATGTAAATTCATGCACGGATCTGTCAGGGGGGGGGGGGGGGGGGGTCAGCCCCCCCCCCCCCCCCTTGGAATTTACAAGGTTAAAAAATGTATACACTAAAACAAGGAAAAAGTTACAATGGACCCCCCTTTGAAAATGCAGATCCCCCCCCCTGGTAAACACGAATATGTGTAAAATAGGTATGAAAAGTTAAACATTTGCGGCAATAGAAGTCACCACTACCCCTTACCCACCTCCACGATATAGGTTTTTGACGTTTGGGTGAGATTTACTTTAGGTTTTTTTTTGATTGTCAATTTCTGGGATAGGATTTTTTTTGACTGAGGTGGACCTCCCCCCCCCCCCCCACCGGAAAAAAATTCTGGATCCGCGTCTGAAATTATATATGTTTTGCTCATAATAGGACCTTTTTAAATTTACTACCCCCCCCCCCCCCCCCCTCGACGCCACAATCACACAGCACATACTTTTTGGAATAGGCTAGATGGAAAAGGTTTGTTAAAATTTAATATCGTTTGTAATGAATTAATTTAAAATTTGTTCTTGTACTATACATGTGAACATGTAAATTTCTACATTACATCACGTTGCGTCACCCATTATGATATTTATAGATTAAACACCATTTGGCACACCTCGGCCGATTCCCACTTCATCTGATAAGGTGACGGAATCGACGAAAGTTCGCCAAAATGGCACATGGTTGCAGTCTGGTGTGCATTGGATTAATTCATTTTGTGTTATAATTGGATTTATATTTCATGAAGTTTACGAGACACAGGGAGTCGGTAAGTAGAAGTCAATGATTAGGTTAAAGTTTAAAAAGGGTCAAAGATCATCCCATGCCACACTAGACGAATTTCATATTGTGAAGTTATCTCCCATTGTCGATGTGACATTCAGTTACTGCCAATACTGGTGCGGATCCAGAATTTTTTTAGGGAGTAGGGAGGGGGGTTCACATCTAAGTCAAAAAATTCCAGCCCAGAATTTCGTGACAAGCAGGAGAAAAAAAATGAAAACAAATAAACAAATAAAAAAACAATGATAGGGAGGTCAATGTTTTCTAAGTTTATAGGGAGAGGATGTCAAGAGTCATTTTTTACTTGCTACAGTATATAGTCTTGTTTAAATAACAAAGCAAATGCAAGATGGGGGGGGGGGGAGGGAGGGCGGGGGGATTCCAATCTTCCTACCCACTTCCTGTCCCTGAAATAACAATCTATTTTGTGATTCCAGTTTAATAGTATATTTTTTTTCCATTTAACTAATTATTATACATGTACATATTTTGTTTCTTGTGTTTATAGTATGTCTGTCTATAAGTCTGCAAAAATTAAATCCTAGCTAGCTTGCCCATAAGTTTTAAGTGGGATGGGCTATACATATAGCTTCCACATTTTATAGGTTTATTTCTTGTGACAATTTAAGAAGACCTTTTATTTGGGTACCATTAATTTTTACCTCTGATCCATAGGCGCTCCCCATGTAATTCTGTAAATGACGTATGATAAGTATATATAGGTCTACCCCTCTATACTATAAAATATCTTTTATGGTATAGAGGGGTAGACCTATATATACTTATCATACGTCATTTACAGAATTACATGGGGAGCGCCTATGCTCTGATCGCTTGACATGGGATACACATTTTTACAAGAAAAATACCAAACTCTGCCTAATTTTTGATCAGTAGGTGCTAGGGCTTTCATACTTATCATGACATATTGTATTCATTTTGAACTGTCAACAGGAAATATGTTTGACCTTGACCCTAGAGTTTGAACCACTTAAAAAAAAAATTAACCTTGGCAATTAACTTTTGAAAAGGAATTACTAGAGATTTCTTTATTTAACATAGACTTTCTTCTGACACTAACAATTTGAACCCTTGACCTTTGAGTTTGACATATATTTGAGAAACTTCAACCTTCGCCATAGGCTTCCATACTGGGACATCAGTGTTTCACAAACACATCTTATCTACATTATTATTTGGTGGTGTCTCCATATGAGGGAAGATGTATTCACAACAAACAAACAAATTACTAAAGAAAATATAAAACATAAATATGTTGGTCATGCATATCTCTGCAGGAAAAAAAACAGCTTTTCAAATACTCCAACCATATTGTAACCCTTTCAAAACACTCATTTGAGCTTTTTTTGTTTCCTTAGCATATAATGTCTGTCGTGACGTGTTGTCCATCTGTTTGTCTGAAAACTTTTTACATTTTTAACTTCTCTAGAACCACTGGGCGAATTTTACCCAATTCATATAGAAATATGTACATTTGTATGTCAGACTCAGTCCATCTGTCTCAAAAAATTTAATCTTGGTTATCACGGTCATATCTACAGAATGAGAAGAGACATTCATATTAAAATTATTATTAGTATATTACCTGTGAGAATGGCATGTTTTTTTTTTACATGTGACCTAGAAGTTTGACCAACTTGCAAAAAAATTAAGTTGTTATAAATTCATCATTTTGAAAGAGAAAAGTTAGGGCATTCATATCATAATGCATGTTTATTATTACCTGTGATAAAGACCTTTCCAAATATTTTTACACTGTGACCTTGACCTTGAAGCGATCAAGCCTAACCTACTTTTCAAAAATGTTGCATTTGCTTATAACTTTTGATTGAGATGAGATATGACTCTCACATTTGACATGTACATAAATTACTCATAAGAATTCAAGGTGTTTCCCAGCATGCAATGTTTTTTTTATGCGCCCCAATTTTTTAGGGGCGCATATTGTTTTTGTCCTGTCTGTTTGTCTGTTTATCTGTTTGTCTGTTTGTCTGTTGTCAAGTTTAACCTTGGCCAATACTTTTGAACCGTAAGAGATAGAGACTTCATATTTGGTATGCATACTCCTCTAACAAAGTTCTTTCAAATGACATCAAGGTCAATGACCTTGTGACCTTGACTGCGACTTATATGCTAAAAATAGGTTTTTCAAGTGTTGGTCATAACTTTTGAACCATAGGAGATAGGGACTTCATATTTGGTATGCATACTTCACTAAATAGGTTCTTTCAAACAACACCAAGGTCAATGATCATGTGACCTTGACTGTGACCTTTATACTAAAAATAGCTTTTTCCACTTTTTGCCATAACCTTTGAACCATAGGAGATAGAGACTTCATATTTGGTTCGAATACTGCACTGATAAAGTTCCTTCAAATGACATGAAGGTCAATGACCTTGTGACCTTAACGGTGACCTATATGCTAAAAATAGCTTTTTCTACTTTTTGCCATAACTTTTGAACCATAGGAGATAACAACTTCATATTTAGTATGCATACCCCACTAATTAAGTTCTTACAAACAACACCAAGGTCAATGACCTTGACTGTGACCTATATGCAAAAAATATAGCTTTTTGTACTTTGTTGATGCCGGGCGCATAGTATTTCACAAACACATCTTGTTACCCCTTGACGTTGATGTTTTACATAATTTTCAAAATATTTAACCCTCCTAAAAGATTATTAGGCTTCTGAGTAACATTAAGGAAGACTTCAAGTAAGACAGGGCTTTTTGCACAAAAAGCATCATTTTCCGACCCACATTTGACCCCCCGGGGCAAAATCTAAATTCCAAAACCTTACTGCATATCTACATGACCCCACCAACCATCTCCCAAAAGATGATTAAGCTGCTGAGTAAAATGTAAGAGGAGTTCAGGGAAAACAGGGCTCTTTGTTTGAAAAACATTATTTTTCAACCCCCATTTGACCCCCCGGGGCAACATCAAAATTCCGAAACCTTACTGCACATCTACCTGACACCACCAACCATCTCCCAAAAGATGATTAAGCTGCTGAGTAAAATGTAAGAGGAGTTCAGGGAAAACAGGGCTCTTTGTATGAAAAACGTCATTTTTCGACCCCCATTTGACCCCCCTGGGCAAAATCAAAATTCCGAAACCTTACTGCACATCTACATGACACCCCAAACCATCTCCCAAAGGATGATTAAGCTACTGTGAAAAATGTAGGAGGAGTTCAGGGAAGAAGGGGCTTTTTATATAAAAAACGTCATTTTTCGACCCCCATTTGAACCCCCGGGGCAAAATCGAAATTCTGAAACCTTACTGCACATCTACATGACACCACCAGCCATCTCTCAAAAGATGATTAGGCTGCTGAGTAAATTGTAGAAGGAGTTCAAGGAAGAAGGGGCTTTTTGTATAAAAAACGTCATTTTTCGACCCCCATTTGATCCCCCGGGGCAAAATCAAAATTCCGAAACCTTACTGCACATCTACATGACACCCCCAACCATCTCCCAAAGGATGATTAAGCTACTGTGAAAAATGTAGGAGGAGTTCAGGGAAGAAGGGGCTTTTTGTATAAAAAACGTCATTTTTCGACCCCCATTTGATCCCCCGGGGCAAAATCGAAATTCCAAAACCTTACTGCACATCTACATGACACCCCAAACCATCTCCCAAAGGATGATTAAGCTACTGTGAAAAATGTAGGAGGAGTTCAGGGAAGAA